TTTGTAGCGAGAAGTCAACGAATATGGTTTTATTCCTTTATTCGTGGCTTACAATATGATATAATAATAATACTGAAATTAAGTATAAAGTAGGAAGAATAATGAAGGGTGATCCGTGGACAGTTGAATTTTGAGTGTCTCGTCCAGAGTGCCTCCTTTGTATTAGTATATGGCTTATATATGTTAAGACGTGAAAATGGTTTACAGACAGACATTACACCGTCTATACATTACTTCGTCTTACATTTGCATGCGTGTTTATAATCTAGGGATTTTAATAAGATGAAAGATTAGTTAAACGATTACAACATTGCGATATTGAAATTCGCGACAGTGAAAAGTAAATACTTAAGAGAAACTTGTCAAATATTGGGCGAGTACAACAGAAACTCTGGATACATTTTGGAAAATATGGAGAGATCAGCACTTAATTAGTTTGAGAAACGTACGTCACAAGGAGAACATAAATCTCCGAAAAGCGCAGAGATTAGCATTAGAGCCCTTATTGAAGGAGAAATTGTGAAATTTAAAAAAAAAAAAAAAAAAAAAACGATGTAGTAGAATTAATAAACTGCACGAAAATATTTGCAACGAAGACGACAATAAAAGTAAAATAATTTTAAAACGAATACTACGAAAGGCAAAAAAACTAGTAGTAAAAATGGCCTGATCTTAAGAAGTTCTCGGGAAGTAGAAATTATATCGTGATATTGATGGTGACGAGAAGACTCTAGGAAGACTTGGACCATTGCTATCAAAATCAACGCAATTCCCGTAGATGAAGAATTACCAGCTGATAATAAAAAGTAATATGAAAGTTCCACACCTCTGCCAATTTCACTTGGTCAAGCTTCGGTAGACATACTGGATATATTATGGATAAGCATATGTTAAATTGATTCCTGTTTGAATAGTCAGGATTTCCATCATCCATCAAAAAGAATGAAGGTGACCGGACCATTCAAGAGAATCTTTTCGCTCCCATGTGAGTAAAGGACAACAATATGGGATCAAAACTTTGAGTGGCTATATTCACGTGTTTCGTCACAAGAGTCATTCACATAGAAGTCATGAAATACATGAATGTTGAGGTTTTTATGCAAGGTTTATCAGCCGGAAGCGACGTCTAAAATTTGATATGTAAAATCTGTGGTGTCCATAACGCCAAGAATCTTGTAGCTTCTTAGTACAAGAAAATAGCAATCAAGAATTAGAGAAACTAAGGTAGAAATTCATTACATCAATAGCAAGGAGGTGTTTATGAAAAAATGGTTGAAGTAGTAAAAAGAACTTTACAAAGAACAGCAAAGAAAAACCTCATGGGAAAAGAATTCAACGTTATTATAGCCGAGATTAAATGCATAGTAAACGAAAAACACTGGAAGAAACATTATAAAAGGGAGAAATAGTACTAAGTCCAGGAATTTTCTGTGATCTAAAGATGTGTAGAATTTATTGGAATATGAGAACAACTTACATGAGAATGAGAAAACGAAAACTTCAAATGTCTCACTCGTCAAGAATTGATCAACCATTATTAGAGTACTAAGAAAGATTGCAATGTTTGCGAAAATATGGCAAGAGGAATATTTGGAAGAATTAAGAAAAATAACGCAAAAATTGCATAAAATTCCTCGCATCATGTATGACGTAGATCGATTAATGGCGAAATATTATTATTGGAAGGGGAAGGTGGTTCTAGAAATTCTTGAAAAATGGGTAGAAAAATTCGAGTATAAAAACTGATCGAGAGAAGACGAATTTGTTGATCTGTTATCGCGGGATATCGAACGGTACACAGTTAAATCGTACTGTGGCAAATTTGTATTCATTAGAGATCCACTCTGGAAGCCCAGACACAATAACTTCTCTCCTCCCGAGAATGTTGTTCCTAACGAAGTTATCCTTTTGTCTAAGGCCAGCATTCTCCTGCTTTAAATCACACATATTGCTTTTACATTGCACTACAAAGCGCTATACCAATGTACAGGTCCTGAAGACGCTATTCCTTGTGATCTCGTATGAAGACTGTGCTCTCACCTGTTAAAACATATGATCCTATCGTCATCAGATTCATTTTATAAAATCCTTCGGCTAGATTGGTTATAATAACGAAATGGTGTTGGCCAGTGAGTCAGTGAATTAGCAGGAATAAAGGCAATTAAGAGAAGCAGAGATGAAAGGGACAGTAATAGAGTTGTTTACAAGGAAGAGTTCTCTCAACCGGTCAATAAATATGCTGTACTCTCTGGAAATAGACGATGAAGAGAAGTAGAGAAATTAATCAATAACGTTTGACTGGTACGGGAAATTGATAAATAGGGGCTTAATGTTCTGTGAATTAGGACTTCTACAAGATGGAGAGATGAAACGGTGATAATAAAAATTTTGTTGATTAATATTGTATTTATATATGCAAAGAATTGGGCGTGACTATAATAAGATGTTATGATGAATTTAAAGCAAGAAATTATGACAGGTATCAACAAATTCTGTAAATAAAATCATGGATTGGACAAGAAATCACAGTTCTGACAATGATTTATAATACTTTGAGATTGTTTACTATGATTTTGTTCTCAAAATTTTATCAAATGATTTGTGATACTGTAAGATTATTTATAATAATTGGTTAGTTTTTTGTTTATATTATTATTTTGGTTAGAGTTTCGCGAAATTATAATTCGCGACACCTTGGATTCATTTCTTATGTGATTATGTTTGTTATTTTTTTTTCTTTTTTTTTTTGAGAAAATTTAGAAATTTGATTCCTTATCATTTTATCTAACTCATAATTTTGTTTATTTCAGAACTGGTACCTAATAATAATAATGTCTTATTTCAAATTCATCGTAAGATCTTATTGTAAACACACCCAATTCTTAACACATATATAAACACAACATTAACAAACAAGGATTCATTATTACTATTATTACTACCAACTAAATAACTCCAGAAAAGAATAATTATCCTTTTTTATTTCTATTTCTACAACTCAGATTATTGGTATTGTACGTTTCATAAAAATAAACATACGACAATCTCACTGCTGTATCATAAAAGTTAGCATAATTTACGCCATTTACTTGATTCCACGATAAAATCAGCAGCCTATATTAATTGAACGACTTATTCTACAATCAAATTAAGTCCTTCAAATTCTTGTAATTTCCTGATCAACGACAAACCTTTCACGACATTTTTTGTACCATGAGCCGGGACCCATGTCTAGCAACATTATCGCAAGCATCCAACTGGCAAAGGAAAGGTTAGTCAATCTTCTTACAGAAATAAATTTAATGGAGTTTAAATCACCGGAACCAAGTATGATATCCAGCCTACTGGTTTTTGCGTGATTTATTTTAACTTCATTTTCTCAATAGCTTTACTTCATTCCTCTCTTTTCTAAAACATGTTTCTTCGAAACAAAAAAAAAGCCATTTATAACATGTAAAAATAAATTTGTATTAAATCCATAGAACTAAAGATTGTCTTATTTGAGCATTCCTTAGACAAATGTCCCAGTGATCACATAAGAATCATTTAATATTCATCTTTGGCTTATTTACATTGTTACTTATGTGCATTGTTTATTAACAAAGATATTAGCGTTTTGAATTTGTTTATAATTATCAGTTCCTTATTTAGTTGATTTCTTTTATTGTTGTTCCTTACCAACTGTAAATTATATCAGAATTTGACAAAGTTAATAACACTTTGTTTAGCTGACCTCTTCTGCCTTTATTGCGATTAAGTTTTCTGAATCTGGCATCCACTACCTTTTTGCAATTACTTCTTCAAGCTTTCTAATATTGTTCGATAACTACGACCAGCAACAATCCTTATTTCAATAAAATAAGGATTAATAAGACGTGGCCTTCTCTCCAAAACTCCACAATCTACTCGAATCAGCCCTATTTCACGACACCCTAGTCTTTTGGTTAATTCAAGTTTTTAGGTAACTTTCTATTACTGCATGCCTTTTTGTTGACTTATTTATTAAATGTCATTTTGATTACTCTATTTATTGCATGTACAACAAGTACGGCAAATGAAATCCAGTGTAAACAGTGTATATGAACTGTTAGTTGAATTTCCCAAATTATTAGTCCATTGGTAATTAATAACCTTATTCAATGAATTAATTTTTCAAGTTTAAGTTGATTTAACTAAATTCTTAAACAAGAGAGAAAAATTATCGGATTAAAGATGATTTTTCCACTACGTAGTGCACAATGAGTAAAATGTAACAGTGCGCACAATTATATAATAACATCAAAAAAAAAAACAATTCACGAGATTCTATGAGTTTTTCATCAATTAAGCATCTAGTTAAATAAGCGTACATTTCAATGACCTTTAAAAAGCATTGCTCGAAGAAGACTCGAAAAAGAATGACTGTTTGCTACACAAAAGACTGATGGTGACATATGTTCATGACGAAATGTCTCACACATAATAAGGCTCACTCAGTGCTGAATACTCAGTACAGTTGTGAGTTACCTTTACAGCTTGTTTACAGGGACAGGTAAGCTTTCAGCAAATCAACGAATTCCATGAGAACATTATGCCTTATGGTACTTCGCGGTTGGTCAATCTCTTCTGCAGTAATCTTCTTGTTTGGAGTTTTTTATGCTGGAGTTGAGATGCCTAAATTTCTGGTTCACCTTTTTATGTATTTTTTGGCTTACTTGCCTTTACATTTATCATTTTCTGATTATCTTCTTTGGTAGCACACTGAAGTGGCTGAGTTGTTGTAAACTTTTATTTTTACTTTTACTATTAAATTTTTACCATTAAATGATTTCAATTTTATTGTCAGATGGTGCTGTTAATTCACATTTGTTCATTAATTCATTTGATCGGATAATGTGTAGTGATATTACTTATTCGATATCTCATCACTAGACACAAAAGTTAAAGGAATTAAGCGCATGAATGAAAATTTTTTCTTGATAGCACGATATGTGTTCATTGTTAATTTCAGAAATTGAAAGATGTCTCGACATCGCAATATTCGTAATATGAATTACGACGAGGGTTAGTATTGTTGCTGTTGCCTTTATTAGTAATAAATACATTAATGACAGTTTTTAACATAGATTATTTCTGAAATATCCTACCTTTCTCGTACATTCATATCAGTCTTGCGCTGTGATGCATACCTTTCTATCACATTATAATAGAGCTTCTGGCGTGCTTTTGGATATATCTATAAGAACATTATATCCTATAAAAATATTCTGGAGGGATAGATAATGGGTGAATGGAGAATTCTCATTACGTAATTTCATACTTAAGAGCGAGATGATGAAGATGATGAAGAATTCCATCGATACAGTATCTCAACAGATGATGAAGTTGCTTCAGGTGCAGGTATTTCTTTCTTTACTATTTTTATTTTTTGCTATACAATGCAGTAGTAATTTGTTAGGACACTGATATGCTTGCCACATGATTTTTTTGCTTAACATATGTTTGTCACTTCACGAAATTTATAATTACTATTCTTCCGTAGCATTGTTTGCTTTTTTGTCACTGGAATTACAAATTTGGCCCTCAGGAACTTGTCTAGGGAGTAATATGTTCGTTCTTATTTGTTCTGCGTAGCAACTTGTCATTTGTTGTTTCAATGGAATTTAATGAACTCACATTATTTGTTTACATGAGTACATTATGATATAGTGCATACTTACACTTTCTGGTTTTTATCATCTTAACTCTATAAAATACAACGATTGATTTTTCTCATAGTCTTATTTCAGCGTAGATTTTACAGTTTATTTAGTATGCTGTCTTCTTTTATAGAAGAATATTTATATAAGCGAACGCATACGAACTCTCTCAATAATAACAAGGCTGGTTGTTGCATCGGAGATTTCATTCCGGAAGAAGGTCTTCCAGAATTAATGAATGATGTTGTCGATGATTCTGGAGATTTTTGCTCCGCAGCAATAAATGTTGAGAGACTTCATAGAGATGGTAATTACTTCATTTTCACTTCTTTTCCTTACTTCATGTTCTTTTCTTTATAATGAGGAATACAGCTGTCTTTAACTTCTAATATTTTTCATACTTGGTATTGAACAGACTGAAGTTTAGAGTTAGCAGGAGACAGTGCGGCAAAAGATCATCAATCAGTTAGAAGTAGAGTTAAAGAAATTCAACTTCGGAAGCAGGTGATAAAGCGGGAAGCAGAAAAAGTGGACACGGTAAATTTCTTCTTGAATAATCTGATATTACCTCCCAAATATTCATTTGTTTTGCTTCAGTCAACTTCCTGAAAGAAAATAAATATAAGTAGCGATTGTTTTTACAGTCTAGCATTCAATAAAAGCGTTATTAGGAATTCTGAACAGCGGTAGTGTACGTAAATATATATCGGTATTAATAATTCATACAGCTGATATATTATGTTATAGCAGAATGGCAATAATAAGCACTTATCAGAGATATCTCAAATGGAGAACTTGCAACTGTCAGAAAACAAAGAAAAGAAAAAAATCCTCGGACCAAGTATTGAGAACAAGTGCTAGCAGCAAAAGACTGGCTGCTCTTGATGCCGCATTAAATGCTGTTGTACAGCCATCTAAGTCAGTTTATTATTATTTAGTTCTTTAGCTATATATACACCATTCTTTGGTTTACAGGCATCATTCAACTATTAAAAGGGCTATTTTAAGAAATAACGAATGCTGGTTTTTGAGCAGTACCGCTATAATAAAGGATATTTCAGAGTGAAGCAGCACTTTCAAGAAAATAAGCCAATGGTTAATTTAGTCATTGTTGGCCATGTAGATGCTGGTAAAAGTACACTAATAGGACATCTTCTATATCAAGTATACTTTTAAGTCTCAAAATATACGGGTTAGGAATAGCTAAAGTCATTCATTCGGTATAGTGGTGAGAATCCCACTTATTTGGTATAATGGCTAAATTGAAAGTATGCAGAATGTATCAGACCAGAAACTAATTATGTTTCACCACACAGTCTCACCAACTGAAATTATGTAAATGATCAAAAATATCGACCTTAAACTTTATGTGAAAAAGATTGTTGCAATCATTGCATTCCAGCAAATAAGATCATAATTTATTCATGAGGATGATTGAAATTCTTTATGTCCTTGTGAAAGATATAATTTTACAGTTGGGTAGTGTTGATGAACGGACTATGCATAAATATAAACAAGAATCAGCTAAAACTGGCAAAGCATCCTTTGCATATGCTTGGATTCTTGACGATACACAGGTGTGCTACCATTTCAATTTAATGTTTTTTTTATTAGAATTTGTGACATGAAGAATATTTTGAACATGAATTTAGTATTTCCTTGTTGAGTTTCATATGGATAAATAGATTCAGCTTAGGAAGAAAGGCAACGAGGTATAACAATGGATATTGCACGGACAACGTTCGAAACTGAGCATCGGAAAATTTTCGTTCTAGATGCACCAGGTCATAAGGATTTCATTCCCAACATGATTATGGGTATTCGTACTTTATTTACCTTACAATTGTTCTTTTTTAAAGCTTTTTAATTTTTCAATATTGTCGAGGCTAAAAGGTATTCTAAACACCACACAGAAATTGCAATGCTTAATATAACAGTAATTCCGTATTAAGTAGATTTCTGTATGGTGTTTTCAATATGAAGTTTACATTTTTAGAGTGATTATTTGTTCATAGAATGTTATATCTTATGGCTTTAGGTGCCGCTGAAGCAGATGCTGGTATATTAGTTATCAATGCAACTCGTGGAGAATTTGAAACTGGGTTTGATCAGGGAGGTCAGACGAGGGAACATGCTGTCTTACTCAGATCTCTGGGTAAACCTTGTTGTTTAGTTAACTTGTATAACGGCTACCCTTTCAAGAGATACGATGTATGCAGATTTGATTACTTTCCGTATAGCTTCAAAACTTTCAACTATTTGTTCATTTGATACTGGAGAGGAGATAGTACTTATTATTTTGCAGGAGTAGGTGAACTAATAGTTGCCATAAATAAGATGGATACGGTGAACTGGTGTCAACAACGTTACGATGAACTTTGTGCCACTTTAAAGGTTTTCCTTAGAAAGCAGGCTTCCTATTCAGCAGTTAAATTTGTTCCGCTTTCTGGATTGGATGGAACAAATTTGACAAAAGCTCCACCTGATGGTCACTCTTTGTGCACATGGTATCAAGGACCAACACTTTTGCAAGTAATGGGTGAGAATAATATTGTGTTTCCTAGGAATATATAATTTTAGATTTGCTTGAGAGGAGAAAGGCATTATTCTAGTTTGGAGAGTTTGTATCAACACTACTAGTAAAAGAGCTGAAATATGAAGGAATGTAAAACAGATTAACTGTATTATCTTTTTAGATGAAATGCAAGTTCCAGTACGGTCACAGGATCGCCATTTCCGAGCTGTTATTAATGATATATACAAAGCCTCAACGTCAGCGCTTTCAGTAGGCATCAAAATTGAGGCTGGTTTTATAGAAAATGACGAGAAAGTGTACATAATGCCAAATGCTGATCCTGTAATTGTTAAAGGTATCTTAATCGTCTATTTCATTCTTGTGCTTATCACTGAAAAACATATAACTTGAGGACTAGTTCCACCATTTGACTTTTTGAAAAAATAAAGAATAATGATTTTTATTTACTTTACACATGAAATCTGCATGCAGGGATAGTTGTGGAGGCCAATTCGAGGAAAGACATTGGCTTTGCTGGCGATCAAGCTACGGTGACTCTAACACCTGTTTTAAATATCGAACCCAATTCCATGAGCATTGGATACGTTCTTTGTCGTGGTGGACAAGTTATTTTCCTATATTTTTATTTTTCGTTCAATTTTTATTTCTTAATTACTCCAAATTAGAAAAGCAGGAGTGAAATTTTTTTACTTCCATCGGATAATAAAGAACCAAGAATCTTACATTAAATTCAGCCATAGGTTTGACGTATTGCATAGTATGGAACCGCATGAATGCTTGAAGTGTTTTTATCTTTTTAAATCGATGTGTTGTAGGAATGTCTCATCCCTGGAAAGAAATATCTGGTGCGTATTGTTGTTTTCGATATTGTTATTCCGATCATAAAAGGCACTAAAGCTGAACTTTTCGCACATTCGTTGTGCGAACCTTGCACCATCACATTGTTGAAGGCAGAACTAAATAAATCTACAGGCGAAGTGATAAGGCAAAAACCTAGGTTTTTCTTTGACTTGTTTTATTTTCTCATTTATGATATCGTTATTTCTGGATGTGAAGCAGACTCGCTGGCATTTTATTATTTATCAACATTAACCTTCTTTCCGTTTTCTAATATTTTGAATTTCTTAGTGTCAACATTCTTTATGTTGATGTTCACAGGTTAAACTGGAAAAAAAAGAGGGTCAAAAAAGATCGCGTTGTATGTGGTCGTATGTATTAAGTTGATAAAGATGACACATTATAGCTCTCCGGTCAATTGATAACAATTGTAAATTTTAGAGCACTAACAAAACATATGAGTGGAACGATTGAAATTCAAACTGAACGAGCTGTGAGCTTAGAACGGTATTCGGAATGTAAAGCACTTGGTCGTGTGACACTTCGCTGTGTGGGACGAACTGTTGCAGCAGGCATCATTGAACAGAGATTGGATTAATTGAATGCTTTTTTTATATGCTTTTCATAATAAATGATTCCATTTTCAATGGCACCATCACTATGTAAATAATGTTAACTACCTTCAAATATTCTTTATATTAAAGTTCACAGATTAAACTGGAATGACTATCCCGAAGCTATAGGTTAGCCTGTCTTTCCTTCCAAATCGTGCTCATGTTTTAATTTAAAAGACCAGTCTCTTCTTTTTCTTGAATTTTTCTTTTTTTATATTTATTTATATTGCTCAATAGTCTATTGTCAACAGTCAATATCATTTTTATTAAGCAATTATCTGAATAAAATTCGTGAACAATAAATTGTATACAATATTTCATATGAGAGATGACGTATCCGAATCACAGACTTTATCGCCACAATCTGATTTTCATGTTAGTAGACGCCAACATCACGTTGGATGTTGATTTTTATGTATCTCACTTAAGCCACACTCCTCCCAGTGAGTCCTCAATAGCTGGCCACACTTAACAAAACCACCTCTACAAGATTTTTGTAAAATATTTGCTGGGATATTTCAGGCTTTGGATCGTGGGAAGAAGATCGTCATCTCAATACTCATCTGTTTTCATTGGTAGTATACATTGTCTGTGTGTGCATTAAAAACGATTATGTATGGTGCAATGAGTTAGTATTGCCTTCAACTAAAGTTGATTTTGTAATGTTGAAAGTCTTGATATGAGGAGTTGGTTGATCACAAAACTTATTTTAGGTTGTTTGAAGTTTCCGCTGTTTTTTGTTTGAACTTATCTGCTCTAATCCCGTTTCTAAGGTATGATACTGAATTCAGGAATTGGCGGTCGATCCATTTTTAAGTCTGGTTGGTGTCCATTGATTCCTTGCATTTCTGCTGTCTTAGCCATTCGCTTCCTGATTTGTTTCAATCGCTTATTCACAGCACGCTCAGCTGGCGTACTATAGGTTTTATTCTGGTCAAATCGACCTCTAACCCGATGAACTATTGACAATATAGCTGGCAGAACCACAAGACCGTGCAAATTGCATAATATAACAGAAGTAACCATTGTTTTCACAAAGACCTAAATGTAGTGATTAGTGTATCTCATAAAGAATTATTCTAAAAGACATAGTATTAGGTTTTAAATATTTTAGATTCATATAAAAAAGAAGATGGAGTAGTTTTTGATAGAGATACCTGCGACATATAAATTCCAGCAAACCATAAGCTGTAAACACACAGTATAGTAGATAATGCTGCCTGCACAGCTGGAAATCCTACCGAGGTAAGACAGTTGCCAAGTTTAGCTTGGGGTGTCGATTGCTCGTCTAAATGAAGGAAAATTTTAAAAATATAGGAAATATAAGTATGAAATTTAGTTTATAGTGGCCAAAAATACAATCCTCTCTTAAGACACTGATGACAAAACAGCAAAAAGTAATAGAGTGTGGAGTATTAGGCTTGTTTGGCAGACAAATGCTTACTGGCTTTGCAGTAATGATAAGCAACATGTGCTGGAATATCAACACTAAAGCCAGTGGATATTATCATCGCAGCCATTGAAATTGGATCTAATTCAACATTCCACCAAGACAGTATGCCTAAGATACCTAAAAAGTAAACCTTTATAGAAATCATTCATAATTAATGTTCAAGTCAATCAACCTAAGTTCTTTTCAAATAGAGTCATTTATTAAAGATATCTCATTCTGATCGAATAAGCATTAAAAATCTTCGTAAATTTCATGTTTAATTTAATGATGAGTTTAGGCTATAGTTCTGAACTATTTAATCTTTTCATTGCTGTTTGCTTTGTTTGATATGGTTAATAAATCAAGCTTACCAATAGACACAGAGAGGACAGAGGCAGTTGCAATAATCACCGTAAGCATATTCCGAAGAAACAAAAAGCATACCGCAGCCATACAAATCAGTGTACCAGCTATCGATTGCCACGTATCCGTCGGCATATTATCGATCAGATCCAGAAAGATGGCGTCTTCATGGAATACGGAAGCATGGAATGATTCGCTTCAATAATGAAAGCTGATTAGGAAGAAATCATCATATTATCATTCAAGAAAATGAACAAAATTTGACAAAATTACAGCAACGATGGTCAGTTATTAGCTTATGTAATGATATTTTCTCCTTTTCTCGTCATCATTTCCTCTCGTCTGTCATTCTAAATCATTATTTTTTAAACTACAAAACTTACTACATAGCTTTGTCTACGATAGCACGCCATCGTTTAAGTAATTTCCCTCGTGTCGTCCATACTTTCAAATTTTCATCATGATAGGCTGTGGTGAAAAAGAATCTTTTCAATTTTTTTCCTGAAATAACTCGTCATGTCTTATTAAAGTCAAATACTCCTGATATATCTGAGCTAATCTATAAATGCATTTATGAATGCGCATAAAACATAATTTTACCGCATTCTACTGACGTATCTCTCTAATGGTTGTTAGGTATGGAATTTGAATGAAAGTCAAATATTACAAACTTTCCATCGGTGCTTAAATTTTGCAACTGGACGAAGCCAGACCAAAAGTCATATTCTGGCCATGTCAAAAAATTTGCTAAATCATCATTATTGAATTTGAGAGCATCTTCCGGATTTATTGTTGTGGTGCTAACATCATCCAAAGAGTCAAAATCATAATCATGTTCTGCTGAAATGAATAAATACAGAAATAGAATTGTGTTTAAAGTCTTTTTGCTAGTTAGTTATACTCCCTATGAGAATAATGTTCCCGTAAATCAGGATACAGTCAATAATAATAAATAAAAATAAAAACAAACATTGCAAAAACTCTGGAATAAAGCAAAATCGCGCACGAAATACATGGTACCAGTAGGTCCCCAGCTACCGTCAAGGTTCTCAAAATCCTGAACCATATTATTCATCAGAAGAAGGGGCAGTTTCTGAGACAAATCTCCTGGTGTCTCCACAAATACCGATGCCATCGTAAAGAACGGTATCTGATATTTTACGCGTAACTTATCGAGCTATAAAGGACATAAAGTTAGATTTGTAATAGACATCTAATAATAACTACAATCTGTCAAAATGTTTGAAAACAGTCTGTGGCAAAAACCTTTATCAGTGGTGAATCTGCTGCAAATAGTTTCTGAGGCGTTAAACTGATATTCATCCGTGTTATCCCCTCAAATGATAATTTATATTGGTGTATCTAATTACATCTATGAGAGCATAAATATAGAATTAGATGAAAAGATAAAAATGTTGCTAGAAATCAAAAATTGTTGATAAATGACAAATTTCTAAGTTATTGAGATTAAGATGAACTATTGATCATCTAAATGAATATCTTCTGAGGAGCAATGCATAAATGAGAAAGATAAACAACAAGAAAACATACCCATACTGATATGATAATGTAAGTAATATATAGAACAATGATTAGAGTAGCTATCGAAGCATGAGCAATGATATTCACATATACTCGCATGTATTTACTGATGTACAGCTTTGATTTATCATGAAATCTCGAATTTTTACGCTGAAAGATATGAAATCATTAAGGATAGAATCAGAAGAATGGCCCAATCAATCAATGACATAACAAGTGGATCGGTTAGCGGATATCCAGTTGATATCAGTGAAATATAATCATATTCCAATAACAGAATGAAGCGATATTAGTTTGTAATGATTAAGAAATAAATTTTTCCTGATATGATAATATAAGGATAATGACAAGCGTTACTATTGCAAAATGGGAGATAATATTATTTGGAAAATTAATAGAGAAAACTTGCAGTAATCTCGCTATATTTTCTGATATTCACTTGAGTTTTCTGTATTGTAATATTTGTGATATTATCTTCATTTTTCTCTGCTGCAATCTCGAATTTTCCAACAACGGACATCAGACCGGAATAAAATAACATCTAAAAAATGAAGTGAATAAAGTTATTGCAGAAAGAAAAAGGAATATTTTCAAGTGTATCACTTACCTGATACAAATACGCCATAAACATGGAGAATAAATTTCCAATGCATAGTAGACGAATTTCAGGAGAAGATGTAAAACAACCAACAGCATCAGCCAATATATTAGTTATTGCGGAGATTAATATAGCGGGGCCAACTTCACTGAGTACCTGAAATATCACATCAAACTACGTAAAATGTAATATGCTTAATTAATAATTAATAAAATTTGAAGAAAAATCAGACCTCAGACATTCGATGTCCAACAGTTCCACTCTTTTTCTCACCATCCCGTATCTCCTTTGTTACTCGCTGCCATTCATGGATCATTAAGTACGAACTATCAATACCTGAATTATTCTTAGTACTTAACACTTAGTACTATTAATTCTTAAATTGTACTTACTTGGTACTTGGCATTATCAATACCTGAATTGCTCTAACTCAATGCCTAGTACTACAAGTACTTAAACTATTGATACCCAATATAAATTAAAACTTTTTAATCAGGTACAGTCTTTTTCACTTCATATGATTTAAAAAGATTCATTTACTCTCTTACCAATAGATAGGACCAGAAAAGGTATGACGCAAAGTATTGAGGAGAATCTCATACCACACAAAAAGAGTATTGCTAACGCTGTAGAACATGCTAGTAATGGTGTGGCGCAAGCCATTACCGCCAGAAAAACCTGAAATCTATGAGTATGTCACACTGAAAGTATATCACAAGAAAACTAACGATGTTAGCATGAAAGATGAAGATGAAAGGGTAAATAAATAAGTCAGATAAGAAAGCAAAAAGTTAAACAAAAATCAGCTAACCTTGAATACATTATTTTGATGCATATAAGCAGCTCGAACCATTACTGTAATTACAGAGCAGGTACACATGATAATAAAGCCTGCAGTTAGATACGGTAGTAGTGATATTCCGGCACGAACCATTTCTTCTTCAATATAAGTGGTGGAAGCGACATAAATTGTCAAATGTTCTGATTGATAATTCCTACAAGATTTAAAAAGTAGGTAGTACAAAAGACACTTTAGCACATATTTTAATTATCTGTCCTATTCTTCAAAACATTCCAAAACAAACTGATCACTTCTAGTAAATCAGGAAAAATCAGAAAATTTGAAATACTCGAAGAAATGGACGACATTCATTTCCCATTGTTTCATATCATCTTTACTCCATTGAGGATTCTGCAGGGCACGAAGTTGAAGTGAAATCATCTTAACTGATTTCATATTTGTTACTGCTGGATGTGTTTCATTCCAGGCTACTAATAGATCAATATTTGTATCATTTCCAAAAAGTTGATGCACTCCTTCCCTTTCTTCATCGATATCCTCTTTTGTTTCATTTCCGTTGTATAGTTCTACACCAAAAAAGTAGGGCTAAAATTAATATGTATCATATGATGCCACAATTTATTCCTCTTGGCGCTTTTGGATAAAATAAGGTGAGAATTTAAGTTTTGAATAATTAATTAGAGTTGTAATTTGCTCCAGGAGGTAGTAGTTAGCTGGTTTATAAAAATGATTTGAATTTTAAGCATAAAGATAGTGTAGAAGTACAGAATTTATTTATTATTATTATTAGCAAATGCTAGGGAAAATTCATATCTTCCTAATTCATAACCAGCAGTAGATATGAACTTTTATCATCTTGATAAGAGCAACTTACATAATTATTGCATTGCTCATCCTTAGTCATTCCATAAATTCAAACAATCGTATATATTGATTAAAATTAAAAGTAAACAATACCTGAATACTTATTTCACGGCCAAACAAGGTACTAATAGGATAACGAAGTCGTAGATATGGATTTGGACGATCACCGTTGTCAACATTCCATTTCTGTACCATATATGCATTCTGAAATTCTCCTCAATGATATTATCATTCAAATAATTGTAAACATCAATAAATTAAACTGTGAAAAAGGGAAAAAAACAATGAACGTATTTCATGATAATCGTCAAACAATCCAAGTACAAATAATCAACTGACAATCGATATAGCTCTGTGGATCATATCATTATCATCGAATTAGATATGTAATACTATTTAATCGTCAAACTCTTTAAATAAGATAGTATAGCTATTCTATTTTTATACTGTGTATTGTGCATCGCTATTTTCCAACAACACGAAAAAGTGCTTGAATCATCAAATTTTTGCAATTTATCAATTATCTTATCAGTTCAGATAACAGATTTGTTTATTTTCTTTCTCTCTCTTTTTTTTTTCAAAATGAAAAATGCTTTATACATAATTCAAACTGACAAAAACGCTTTTTATACCTATTTAATTATCAATAAGCAAACTAGATTGTCAACTATAAAGGTCAAATAAGTTACGACTGAGTTAAGGTGGATGAATGCATTAACTTACATAAAACTGTAATACGGGTTCGTTTATATTGCAAAACTCTCTGCAGAATTGATTGAAGGATTGATTGTTACGAGTAATTGGATCGTACAGTGTGATATTGTTAGCAGCTAAATGTAGCACCTAAAAATGCATTATATCTAAGGTTATCATTTGTTATATTACGTTTGTTCATATATTCATATCTGATGTCAGTTACGGTATTAATATAAAATGTTATCGACTAGAATGTTATCATAAAATGGGACACTGTAACGACATGGGGACACACCTTTATGGTATCGTTGAGATGACTTTGTCGAAGCATAGAATTACCGTCTTTGGCGGTGATATACAGATACGTGGATATTGCTAAGCCACGTCCCGAGAAGAAGTTTAAATACTTGTCGTATTCAATGCGTGAACGTGCTTCGAATGGTGAGTAACCTTCTAGATCATTACGTTGTCTATAATAATAGCATTATTGCTTGAAATTCATCAAAGCATCTCATATGACATTTTAACTTTCATATCATTTGCTTTTAATTAAATTTAATGAATTTTTCCGTTTAATAACAGCTTTTTCTCCGGTAGAGTATAAAATAAAGAAGAACAAACGGTGTATAAGATATCTTGATGAGTGCTAGTAGTGAAATCAGTATACAGGAGATCATAGCAGGCCAAGCAAAACGAGTAATCCAGAAACCCCACTTGTTGTATATCTTAATTATAAACTTAACAAATCTGAAATAAAAATCAATTATTTATACTTGATATTTACACTGATACTATAAATTAATATAACTTATCATTTTATTATCAATGCAATAATAAATTAGATGATAAAATGAAATGAAACAAACTTTGGCTCTTTCTCTCCGAATTCTTCAAGAAGTTGCATGGAACGCTTTCCTACTAGAATACTTGATCGTCGATGTCCATGAAGAGATTGTGATGACAAATCTTCATATGCTTGAGAATGCATCCATGAATTACCATAATCAATACCGGAATATTTTGGTACATTGTTACTTCTCTCCGTATTCCATGAAAAATCTACAAATAAATTAGATATAGCATAATTTTTCTTCTTTTTCTTATAAAGAATAATTTTAAAACAAAATTATATGCAAGAAATGTTCAAATATGAATTCTATGTAGTAATAAATGAAA